CGCCCCCTGTGGTGGGATGTAGGGCACTGTCATGGCTCTGCTAGCAGCAGGGTGGCCTGCACCCCACGAGGCTCCAAGACCTTGACCCACGGCACCATCAGCCCAAAAGGACCTCTTGATGAGTTTGCTGTCTCTGCTGACCATCTGCAGCGATGCAGAGCTGAGTGACCCTTCCTAGCCTGGGTGCCCAGCAGGCACCCCGGGGCTGACCTGGACATTGCACAGCCTGCCCTTCCCTCAGCATCACCACACCCCACCCCCACTCCCCAGTAGAACAATGTGCACTTGGAGCTCAGGTCCCCTCTCAGCCCAAAGGCCAGTTCTAGACCCCTGCAGGAAGCTGTCTCACCTCCCCAGCGTGGCCTCTCGGGGTGCTCTCGGCCACTCAGTCACTGGCTGACCAGTGACTGCACCAGGACAGCGCAGCCAGCGCCTCAGTGGGCTCTGAGTGGGTGCCCAGTACTTGGTCCTTAGAGCACCTTTCACCCAAGCATCCTGAGTCTCACCCGCTCCGCGACACTTCCTGGCACCACGGCCATTTCCAGAGCGCAGACTCCCCGCCAATGTCTCAACGTCCCCTGCCCTGGGCGACCTGTGGGCAAGCAAGGCCCTCCGCGGGACAGCCCTGTCCCTCAGGCTGCCTCGGCCGGAAGCCCTGCCCTGGCCTGCAGTGCGGAAGGCCCCAGCACATCTGGGCACAGTGCACTGGGGAGACTTGGCTGCAACTGCAGTGCCCCAGGGGGACTTGGAGATGCGGATGGAACCACGGTTGACCCCGGCTGTGTTCCCGAGGACGCACCAGTGCCTGGGGGGCTGAGCTGGCCCAGAAAAAGGCAGCTCTCCCCAGGGACACACGGAAGGATGCACTCACTGGGCCTCAACAGGGGCAGGGCACTGGGCCGCCCTTGCTCAGGCGTGCACAGCTCTCTGCAGGATAAAACTTGCGATGAATGAAATGACCCCGAGACCACTGCAGGGACGTGCAGGCTCCGAGAGGGCACCGGGGCCTGTGTCCCCACCCCCAAGGTCCAGTCGGCCGCAGAAGTCAGAGCTAGCAGGTTGCACGGGGTTTATTCTGCTCCCATCAGCTTTCTACAAAGACCCCGCTTCCGGCTGTGCCTGAGGACAGAGGCTGCTCAGGAAGGGACTTCATCTGGGCCACGCCCAGGAAGTCTCCCTGTTCCAACTCCACGTCCTCTGCAGCAAACTGAGCCTCCGGCCATGTGGTGCTGGTGGACAGTTCCCACTGTGCCAATGCCCTTGCCAGCATCTACGCCACACCTACATGAGCCAGCAGCAGGAGGCCCCAGGGCACAGCCAGCGCCAGAAGACCAGGCTCCATGGCAATCTGGCAGCAACAAAAGCCAGAGATGCTGTGCAGGCAGGAAGCAGGGAGCTGACGCAGCAGCACCTGGCTAGGCAGCAGAGGGTGGGCAGGTGCACAGGTGTGCAAGGGACGCAATTCTGTGCTGTGCACACTACAACCCCCAAGCTGGCTGTCTAGGCTCCAAACACTGTTTGTCGTTGTTATGTAAATGGGTCTCCCATGGCCCCTTTGCCCTGGATAAGGACCCGCTTGGTGTGTATTCCTAGCCCAGCCCTCCACTGGACTCTAGGTGGACTTGTCGCTACCTGGACTTGTCACAGCCTCTCCAACTGAACCCACTGGGACCATGCCCCTGATCTTTCCAGCCCCTGCTCCACTTGCAGTCACACGCCCAGGAAACTGTGACCATGTTCTTTGGTTGCACAGACAAAAGCTCCAGAATGGTCGACGCCCGGCTCCTCTCACGGCCCACGTCTGACGTGTCAGTAGTTCTCGACGCTGCTTTCGGAACCTGACGGCTCCTCACACCTCCAGTGCTCACAGCTCACCGCAGTGACGGCTGGCTGGCTATGCTCCCCGCCCTGTCCCTTCCCCACCCTACTCCATGCGACTCCAGCCAAGCTGTCAGGGAGCCTGCTAATACAGAAGAGCAGATCCTCTTCTCTGCTGAAAATCAGTCCCACCAAGCCCTCGCAACGGCCCACAAACCCTGTGTGATCCGGCCCACGTTCCTTCCACGAATGACCTTCTCTGCTGTGCAGCCTTGCGGGCCTTCATCTTCTGCCAGGAGCGCACCAGTAGGCTGCTGCCCCAGGGCCTCTGCGCTTGCGGAGCCCTCTGTCCTTTCTCCAGGTGTCTGCATGGCTGCTCGCTCCCTCATCTTTGACCCTTACTCAGTTGTCTCTTCCAGGGGTCGGAGCTGTGGCACAGCAGGTTAAACCGTCACCTACACTGCAGGCATCCCATATGGGCACCGGTTCGAGTCCCGGCTGCCCCTTTTCTGATCCAGCTCCCTGCTAATGTGCCTGGGAGAAGCAGATGCAAAGGCCCTGTGGTGGGTAACACCCAGGGGGAGCAAACCCTGGGGAGACTCCTCCGTGGGAAAGCAAGACGCAAGCATGGTCTGTGCCCTTTCCTATGAGCCCACGGGGCGGGGGTAGGGGTGGGGGTGGTGGACCGACCTCTGGGGGCTGCCAAAGGATACGAAGTGATGATTATTCTGGTTTCCTTTCCTGGTTGCATCGCCACCACCAGTGCCTGTCCACAGCAGGCAAGGGGCAAGAATTACCTGAGAGATACACAATCTGAAAACTATTCCACTTACAGTAACCACCAAATGAGCACACTCAGGAACAACTAACCACGGAGGCAAAGGACTGCACGCTAAAGAATCGTTGTTAAATGGGAAGGAATCCCGTGGCCACGAATTAGAAAACTCGATTTTGTTAAGATGGCAATATTCCCGCATCTACAGATTTAGTCTCCACCAACGTTTCAACTACTTTTTCTCTTTAATAAGAAATACGCAAGTTTATCCTGAAAGGCGTCAATTTGTAAGGGACCTAGAATAGCCAAAATAATCTTGAACCAGAACAAAGTTTGAGGATGCAACTTTCTGATTTCAGAATTTACTGTAAAGCTACCGCAATCAAAAGCACTGTGGTATCAGCCAAAGGACAGACACAGATGCCGGAACACAACTGGGACCCAAGGCTGCTCATTTCCCAGAGGGCACGAAGGTCACCCGAGGGGAAGAGCGGTCCTCCGGAAGGTGGTGCTGGGGTGACTCAGCCGCTTTGTGTGAGAGTGAACTTGAACCTTTACCTCACACATGTATGGAAGTGAATTCAAAACCGCATCAAAGACCTGAGGAGAAGAGCTAAAACTAATACATTCTTAGAAGGAAACGCAGGAGCGAATCTCTGTGGTCTTGGGCTAGCAATGGTTTCTTAAATTTTACCCCAAAAACACGAGCAGCAACAACAGAAAAGATAAAACTAAAAACTTTTGTGCAACGGAGGGTACCAGCATGAAAGTGAAAGCAGAAATCCACAAACAAAAACAGGAATTTGTGAGAAAAACTTACACAACTGGTAAGTACTCTTACAGCTCAACAACAAAGAAAGACCTAATTTTTTTTTTTTATTATTTGCAGGTGGAGTTATTGACAGTGAGAGAGAGACAGAGAGAAAGGTCTTCCTTCCGTTGGTTCACCCTCCAAATGGCTGCCACGGCTGGCGCTGTGCCGATCCAAAGCCAGGAGCCGATGCTTCTCCTGGTCTCCCATGCAGGTGCAGGGACTCAAGTACTTGGGCCATCCTCCACTGCCTTCCTGGGCCACAGCAGAGAGCTGGACTGGAAGAGCAGCAACCGGGACTAGAACCTGGCACCCCAACCAGGACTAGAACCCGGGGTGCCGGCGCCGCAGGCGAAGGATTAGCCAAGTGAGCCATGGTGCCAGCCCTAATTTTTTTTTAAGATTTATTTATTTATTTGAAAGAGTTATACAGAAAGAGGAGGCAGGGAGAGAGAGAGAGAGAGAGAAGAGAGAGGTCCTCCACCTGTTGTTCATTCCCCAACTGGCCCCAATGGCCGGAGCTGTGCCGATCCAAAGCCAGGAGCCAGAAGCCTCCTCTGGGTCTCCCATGTGGGAGCAGGGGGCCAAGCATGTGGGCCATCTTCTACTGCTTTTCCAGGCCATCGCTGAGAGCTGGATGGGAAGTGGAGCAGCCAGGTCTCGAACCAGCGCCCACTGCGGGTGGTGGCTTTACCTGCTATGCCACAGTGGCGGCCCCAAAATGATCTAATTTTACAACTGGCAGAACATTTGCACTGACCTCTCTCCAAAGAAGACACACGAGTAACAAGCACATGGGAAGACGCTCCGCATCACCCATCAGGAAAACGCGAATCAAAGCACAAATACCACTGCAAACCCACTACCTCGGCTGCAGCAGCAACAGTACTCAGAAACCCTCAGACAGCAAGGCGCGTCCGCGAGGACCTGGCGGGCAGGAGTGCCCACCCACTGCTCACGGGAATGAAGACAGCACAGCTGCCGCAGTCAGACTGCTGCTCCAATGTTAGAGTGACCACAGGAGCCCGCCCCTCCATTCCCTAGGCACCACGGGAAGTGAAAGCAGATGTTTACCCAAAAACACGTGTATGCACCTCCACATAAGTACCAGTCCAGACAGCTAACAGGCACGACCAACCCCGACGTCCGCCAACAGACAAAGCACAGACGACATGCCATGGTCTACCCAGGCAACAGAGACTGTGAGGCTACCACAGTCACAGGGCTGACGGCTGCTCCACGGCTGATCTGCGAAACACCGTGCCAAGGAAAGAAGCAGGCCCATCAAGTACAATGTCCCAAACAGACAAACGGTAGAGACAAGAGGTAGTCCAGGGGCTGGGAGGGGGCAGGCACAGGGCTGTGATTGTGTCATGGGTGTGGGGTCTCACTGCCGGGGATGAAAACGTTCAGGACACTGCGACTACACCAAAAGCCACAGGACTGTACAGTTTAAAATCATGGCAATGGTGAACTCTGTATCCATTCTACTTCCATAAAACAAAACAAAGACTTACCAGAGATGCTGCAAACAAAGTGGCAGAGTGGGAAGGGTTGGAATATCAAAGGCCGCGTGGAGTCCCCGGGACCACTGACCTTGCTTCTCCGGGTTGCGGACCTGGGACGGCATGTCTTGGATCTCCAAGGTCCATTCCCCATCAGCCTTTTCTCCCCAGCAGTGGACGGTCATGAACTCCCAGTTTGTGAACCCTTCGTTGGAATGATCCAGCAGCCTGCAGCAGGAGACGCAGGATTAGAAACTAGTGGGTGTGACGCCAGGTGGCAGCCCGGGGAGGGCTCTCTCCTGCCCCTCTGGCATCTGTGTGGTTCAGACAGGGTGCACCTGGGGGGGCAGCAGAGCAAGAGGAGGGGAGGCAGGGGTGCAGGTAAAACGCTGACGGTTCTTAAACTCTCCCAGCAGTTTCTCTCCTGGCATCGCACGGGGCTCACACTGCCCATAAAAGATGGGGACAGGGTGCTGTGGTCTCCTCCCTCTCACCCTAACTTAGAGACCCCAGGAGCACTGGGATGCTGCAGGCTCAGGTGCCCATAACCAGCCAAGCAGGGCTGACTTCCCTTCTGAGTTCTTCCAACCACCAGCAGGTGTTCACAGGGTCAGCACCAAACGCCCTCTGTCCCATCACCCCTCTGAGCAAAGCGTCCAGGCCCTTCCCACCGCAGGTAACCAGACCTTTACGGAGGCAGATGGAGGCTGGGCCACATCACCCTCTGGGAGTTCATGGAGAAGCCTTTCTACAGTAGGGGGTTGTGGAATGAATGACCTAGGGCCAGCTCTGGACACCTCTCTCCAGAAGCTACAGACAAGAACCAAAGAAGCGACTGCTCAGACTTGCAGGGGATAGTGTGGTCCCTCCAGGGCTTGGCCAGTTTCATTGGTCACCTCTGGGGATGAAGCTGATGCTAGTCCTGGTTGTGCTCCGACGTGGGTGGGAGGCACCCTTGGGCAAGGCATGAGAGGAGCAGGAAGAGAAGGCTCCTTCTCCTGCCTGCTGTTAGGCACCCTTGCAGGTTGTGATGAGCCCCCCAGCTGTGGTCTGAATACGGCCTGTTGTCACCAAAACTCATGCTGCACGCGGTCCTGATGTAACAGCCTGGGCAATGTGGAGCAGCCCTCATGAACAGACTGATGCCTCCTAAGTCCTTGCTCTCACAGGACTGAATTAACCACTGTTGCTACAAAGCAAGGTCCCCCAGGCTGCATCTCCTCTGCACCTGCCCTGCCTGTCCACTTCCAGCCATGAGCTGAGACATCAGAGGTCCAGCACACGTCTTTCTCCAGAGGCAGGAGCTGAAACGTCAGATGTCCTAGACAGAGCTGCAGCACGATCTTGAACTTCCAGCCTCCAGGACAGGGAGCCAGAGTAAACGTCTTTCCCCCTTAAGTACCAAGTGTGCCAGGTGTTCCCTTAGAGCCACAGAAAATGCATGGAGGCGCTTCCTTTGTCTTTGCTTTGAGGCTGGAAGGTCTTTCTTGACTGTCCCCGCCAGTCCCTGGGCCTCCAGCCTCAGTCCACATTGCATGTCTGGTTTCGGTAGAAGCAGGAAGCAGGCACTGGCACCATCTCTTCCCACACCCAGGCTCCTCCTCCATGTTCTCGCCTGAGATGCAACAAATCCAGGTTCTTCTCACCTCCTCTTTCTTCACAGCCTAATTCTCCACCTCCTGTTTGGAATTCGTTGTTAACATAGGGCTCCTAACTGTTCACCAGAAATTCAAACAGGTAAGTTGTGAGATGTGAGATTCCACATCCAACGTCGTGGAACCTGGGAACGTTCCTGCAGGGAGAACACTGGGAGTGCTTTCCCTCAGGAGCCAGCCAAGGCCAAGGCTGGGGGTCACGAGATCCCACACTGACCCCGATGCAGCCGGGACACACTGTTTTGTAAATGCCAAGCTTCTTAAGGAAGTCAACTTCCTCTTTGCGGCAAAGTGGCAGCCTGAAAGACTGCCACACTCGGTGAGGTGTGACGTGGAAAGTAACAGATCCCAGCAGAACTTCTGGATCTAACTGAGAAATCTGCCTTAGAAGAAAACAACTCCCAAGGCTCAGATGACAACCAGGTGGCCTCAGGGCACTCTTGCAAGTGCTCAGGCCTGGGCGCAGCGTGGCCTAGCCAACAGGCAGGGGCAGAGGGAGGGAAGGCAAAGCCGGCTCGGGAGGGATGCGAGGGCCCGGAGAGGTCTGTGGACCAGGCGGCTGCATCACAACAGAACAGGAGGACAGCCAGGCGGGGGCCAGGGACACTGCCGAGCACGGGTATTTACGTGATATCACGACTCCTACAGTATGCCCAACGTTTACAAATAAGTGACATGACACTCCAGACATGAGGAATAAGCCGAGGCCGAGTGGCCGGCCCCTGGGGGGCTGGCCCTGAGCTCGAGGCTCCCAGCCCACATCCTCTGGACACCACCGGCCTCCATGCCCGCCTGTCACCTGCCATCTCAGCCACGCGCCTCAGCACAGGCTCCTGGGCTCCCCACGCCACCACTGTGCCAGCTCCTAGCCTGCCTGCCATCAGGGGTCACCACCTTGGGTCTGCTGGGTGTAACTGCAGCCGGGAGAGAACGGGTACCGGAGCAGGATGCTCTGGAGAGCCCGTCGGCACCTGTGCTGGCACCAGGTCAGGGAGCGCAGGCTGCAGGGACGCAGGCTGGCCCGCCCGCCCGGCTCGAGGCCAGTGTGCACGGGGAAGGTGGGCCCAGGGCTGCAGAGCCTCCAGATCTTGAAGAAAGGCTGCAAATGTGGAATTCCTTACAACTTCAAACACAAAGAACTTCTAGGAGCCAAATGGCATCACGTTCCGGCTTGCAGCTGCACCTGCAAACTGTGCGTGCCCACGCTGGGCTCTGCTGGGCTGGGGCAGGGCAGGCCGTGCCCACATTTATGGGGGGAACAACCTTGTGCTGCTCTTGTGCCAGAAGAAGCGAACCTGGTAGGGACGGCTGTGGGGACCAAGCTCTTTTTTTCTTTTTCTTTTTTAAGGTTTAAAAGCAAGATTTATTAGAGTCAGAGACCTCCAGCCAGAGTGCCATTAGAGGGGCGGTCCAAGGGAGGAAAGACCCCGGGACCAAGCTCCTGACCCCACAAAAGCAGTGTCTGGTCTCAGGGCTGACTCCAGGCCCCCCGTGTTCTGCCAGCAGCAGAGAGGCCGGGCAGCTGGGCAGAGGCCCAGAGGCTGCGCTGCCTGTCCATTGCTCCGCCTTACATAAAGCAGCCGGGGAGAGGGGAGGCCTGTTCCAGAGTCCTGCTAATCCCTGAGGCCAACTGCGGACCAGAGCCCAGGCAAGCAAGCCAGACGGGTCCTGGGAGCCTGGGTCAGCACATGCAGTGGAGGCCATGGCCCAGCGGACAAGGCAGCCCCTGGTCTCGGGTGCTTCCTGTGGGGATGGGATCCAGTCATCAGTTCTGGTTTCCAGAAGCTGGAAATGCTGCCTTGTCTCCCTCTGTGTCTTAGTTAGCAAGAGACAAAAGGACACCCTAGTGCTCCCCTGGCCCCAACCTCCCACAGATGCCCAATTACATAAAGGCACTGAAGCACCATGGGAAACGACCCCACGGCCTTCCACAGCAACGTGGTAAGCGTCAGAGCTCAGAGTTTGTGTCTGAGCACTGGCATCTGGGGGAGAAGGCCTCAGAGGGCCTCCTGGGAGCCCCTTCCTGCACCCTGCCCAAGCCTGGATTTTCCATGGGGCACACTCCTGGCCACTGCGGAGCCCACGAACCAGTGGGGGCAGCTTCAGGAGATGCATTGTGCTCCTGTGACATGCACTCTCACCCATGTGTCTACTGCAGAGGATAAAGGTGACCCTCAAGGGGCCGGCACTGTGACGTTGGCAGGTTAAGCTGCCACCTTATATGGGTACTGGTTCAAGTCCCAGCTGCTCCATTTCCTATCTAGCTCCCTGCTCATGCGCCTGGGAAAGCAGTGGAAGACGGCCCAAGTCCTTGGCCCTCTCACCCATGTGGGAGACCTGGATGAAGCTCCTGGTTCCTGACTTTGGCCTAGCCTAGCCTCGTCATTGTGGCCACCTGGGGAGTGAACCAGCAGACAGATGTCTCCTGCTGTCTCTCCCTAGCTCTGCCTTTCAAATAAATAAAATACATCTTAAAAATTAAAAAAAAAAATAAAGATGACTCTCAACAGATGTATAAGAGCAACGAGGGCGCAGCCAGAACTCCATCAGCCTCTGCACCACACAAGAAACGAGGTGAGCAGGGCCTCTGCGGCTGCTTCCAGAACACGCGAACTTTCCAGGGCTGCTCGACACCAGGGTCCAGGGTATCCCCTTTCCGTGAGAGAGGGGGCTGCTGGCTGCTGGTAGACCCCCAAGACCCTCCCCCCACGTGCAGGGGGCCTTCCGGGACACTGTGGGCTGGACTGGATGGCACTGGTACACCCCGAATCCCATGGTGAGTCCCAGCCCGCCCAGCCCGCCCAGCCTTACCTCTTGGCCAGGAGCTGAGACTTGGTTCCTGAGGGAGAGATCAGGTGGATCTGAAGGTCTCCCCGGCGCGGGTGCGAGATGGAGATGCGAGCCACCACGTGTTCCAGGTAGACCACGCGCTGGTCCGAGTGGTCGGCGCAGGCACTGGTCAGGGCCGTGCTGCGTAGCACCTGCACTACCGGGATGCTCCTGGGGAGGAAGGGGCAGCTTAGGACGCAGCCGAGTGTCACGCACGCCGCAGCCTCCTCCTCACGCTTCCCGGTCAGATGCCCCACCTGGAGCTGCGTCACCCACCAGAAGTTGCTTACAGCTCTGCAACCTGTCCAGGGATTTCAGTAACTGGTTCTGGTGCCGGCTCAGGGCCAAGCAGACAGCTTCTAAGCAGCATTTGGCCCGCTTACTTCCGCCAAGGTTGTGGTCTACAAGGCTGTACTGTCCCACTACTTCCTTTCAGGCTGGCCTTGACTACGGAAGCACAGTGCTGAGTAATAGCAGCGGCAAACATCGGAGCAGATGTGCTGGGCTCTGGTCTCGGCGATCAGAGGCGGCACTGGGGTTGGTGGCTGGAATCCAGTGCCTCTACCTCCACGCCTTGCAAATGTGCCCATGGGGACCCCATGCAAGGATGGGGGGCCACAGTCTACTCTTCTGTGCTGACCACCCAGGTCCAGGCTGTTGCAGATGGGCCAGTCCCCAGAGCTGACCAGAGCTGGCCAGCCCCTTCCTCTCTTGTCCTGGGGTGGACACACATCCCATGATGATGGCCACAGGGGATGGAATCAAGCCCCAGTCACTCAACAAATTATTTCTACCAGGATTCCCTGACACACTCCTCACCCAAACAGGAAGAAAGTCTGTCCCCAGATGCTGCTCACATGTCCAGGCTAAGCCGTCACCTGCCTCTTGCGGGCCACGTCGCCTCTGCCCCCAACCCCAGGAGCTCCCAGTGAAGAAAGATGGCATTCTTCGGGGCAGACCTCACTGCCGCCCACAGCCTGTCAGTAACGCCCCCCCACCCCCATCCGGCTGGCGCTCAGTTTATTACAGGGCGCACGTTTCCCATTAAGCCCTGACTCGCCTCCCAGGAGGCTGCGAGTGCCCCGAGCCTCTCAGGGATGACATCGCCTGGCTCTCGTGTGCCTGAGTCATAAAAAGCAATGCAAACAGTTAGAGCAGTGATGTCATTCCCGCAGAGACTCTGTAAATATTTGCAAACATGGTTTGCACGCACCGTAAACTGATGTGGGGACGTTGCCTTCTTTCATTGCCTTCTCCCGAGTTTTACTGTCTGTGTTTATCAGTCAGCAGGACCTCAGCATGGCGGCAGATGCAGAACACAACAGAAAGCTCTAGAGAGTTCCAGGCCCTGCAGGTCCCACATACAACTCCAGGTGAAGTACGCACTGGCAGCACTAAAAATGCAAGGTGGCTGCTTCTGGTAGGGGTCTCGTGAGGGCGCAGAAACTGTAAGTCCACGCACTCAGCAATCGCTTCTCTGGCTGCCTGTCAAGACCCCAGGCCCAGGAACAAGCCCACATGCTTAGACTTCTCAGACTGGATGAGCAAGATCAGGCCAACAGAAGCAGAAGCCAAACAAAGTTGAGAGAGCGTCCTCCATGGGAGACCTGGAAGAAGCACCTGGCTCCTGGCTTCGGATCGGCGCAGCGCCAGCCGTGGCAGCCATTTGGGGAGTGAACCAACGGAGGGAAGACCTTTCTCTCTGTCTCTCTCTCTCACTGTCTATAACGCTACCTGTCCAAAAAAAAAAAAAAAAAAAAAGAGAGAGAGAGGGAGAGAGAGAGCGTGTCCTCACCCATCACACCATCACGATGTGCTAACTGGCAGGGGGGAGCAACAGACCTGGAGTCCCAGGGAAGAAACCTGTGTTGACAGGACAGGGGCTTAAGAAAGCAGAAGCAGGGTAAAGACAAGACAGGAAGACCCACCCCTCACCTGCTCTCCTCTGCACCCAGCCCAGAGCACGAGGCACAGAGAAGAAAGACCTCAATGTCTCTCCCATCTGGCTTCACGGGGGCCGACTCCCACCAAGGACTCCAGCCGGGTTCGGTCTGAGCCGCAGGGAGACTTGTTGCTGTAGCCTGCAGGGGCCGCAGTGGGCAGCACTCAGCTCCTTCAGGAGTCAACCGCTGGGCTTTCAAAGCCCAGACCTCCCCTTACCCGGGGGCGAGGAGCGGAGTGGCTTTTGGAACAAGGCTACATGTAACAGTTTTTACATGGACGGTGTAGTTCAGGTCACCAGGACTCCTCATTTCTGCCAAGTTCTAGGGGACCTGGCGGGGGGACAGAACGGACAGAAGAGCTAGCACCAGACAGTGAGGTATTCTCCTCCTCATGTGCATGACTCCCCTTCCCCCGATTTTATTTCTGCTCTTGCTGTTGAAGCCAATAAACGCCAACACAGCACATCGGGGGCTTCTAAATTTCCTTACAAAAAGCAGCAGGGGCTGCTGCCTGTAACACCAGAAGTCCGCATGGGCTGCTCCACTTCCTGTCCAGCTCCCTGCTAATGTGCTTGGGCAAGCAGCAGAGGAAGGCCCAGGTGCTTGGGCCCTGCACCCATGTGGGAGACCCGGATGAAGACCTTGGCTCCTGGCTTGGCTCTGGCAAGCCATCGCCATTGCAAGCCACTTGGGGATGAACCAGCAGGTTGAAGATCTCTCTGTAACCCTGCCTTTCAAATAAATAAATAAATCTTTAAAAAATGAAATAAAGAAAGGAAGGAAGGAAGGAGAAAGAAAGACAAACAGCAAAAGAGGAGGCAGCTTTAAAATGTTTTAAGACAGCGAGCTCAAGTTTTGCTGGTTCAGGTGGAAACTCCAGGTAGGAGGCAGGTGCTGGTGCGGGGGTTGGGATGCTACTTAGGACACCCACGTCACACCCACGCCCAGTATCAGAAGGTGGGGGCTGGAGCCCCGGATGTTTCTCATTCCAGCGTCCTGCTAACACGCACCCCGGGAGACAGTAGTGATGGCTCAAGGAATTGGATTCTTGCCACCTATGTTTGGAGACCTGCATTGAGGGCCTGGCCCAGCCTTGACTGCTGTGGGCATTTGTGGAATGAACCAAGAAATGAAGATTGCTCTGTTTCTCTCAACAGATAAATACACACACACACACACACACACACACACACACACGTATGTATATATTTTAAAGGAAAGAAACTCCAAGTAGGGACGTCAAATATCAAAAGTCCTCAGCTTAAGGATTAATTTAACTCCGAGGCAGGAAGTGAGATACTCTACGAGAACAATGGAAATTATTTCCTGTGCTACAGTCATGTCATGGTTAGACAATGTAAAGTGATCCTTTGTCACACAGATACAATGACATTATACTTTAACCATGAAAATTGATTTAGAAACATCTTAAAATTCCCAGGAAAACTGAAAACGTTCTTATGCTATTAACTTTTGCAAGAGTGCACAAAGCCATCTTTCCAGGGCTCTAAAGGAACCTGAGGGTTTCAGTGTGCCCATTGTGGGCCGAGGGAGCACTGTTCAAGCCAGGGAGACGGTGATCTGGAAAGTTCATGGAGGACAGAGACGCCGCTGCCCGCCAAGGCACATTCCAGAACTCACGACTCTGGTCCTGCAGCCGCTCTCCATTCTTCCGAACCCCTCTGGACCAGGAGCCCCTGGGAAGGCAGAGCCATTGCGACAGGCGCCGAGCACCCCAGACCACGGGCACGATAGCCGCCTCCTAGGTTTCCCCGTGGAGATATAGAAAGCTGTGAATCTACTAAGATCACCCAGTCTTGAGGGGTCAGAGTCACATGCAGAGACAGATACACATGTGCACGTGCCCGGGGGGGGGGGGGCAGGGAAGGCTGGGAGACCTCTGCTTCCCACAGCCCCTAGGCTCCCGACTGGCCACGCTGCTGTCCTGGGACGCTGCTTCAAGTCCGTGAGTCACCCTGAGACCGCTCTCCAGCTCAGCTTCCTGAACTGACCTGCACCTGTGGCAATGCTGCCCTGCCAGGCTGTAGGGAACAGCAGGGTGCCCACTCCTTACTGGACAACCCCAGCTCATGGGGGCTCAGCTGGGAAGCCTCTCTGGCTTCTAAGGGCATGAGCAGAGCATAGGGCAAAACTGGAACAGGATTTTCTTTTTTTAGGGTTTAAGGTGTTGTTTTTTAAATTTAATTGTCCTATCAATTGTACATATTTATGGGGTACAGTGTGACATTTTGATGCATGTAAACAATGTATAATGACCAAGCTAGGATAATTAGCATATCCATCATTCAAGTCTTTATTGTTCCTTTAAGCTTCTGGTCACCAATTTTCTTCAACCGATCAATACAGAACCTTGATTTACATATCCTATAATCTAATTATTTTGAGACGTCTAAGAAATGAGTGGTAACCAGTCACCCTCCTGTGCCCCAGAATGAGAACGCAGTCCCCCTAGCTACTGGTATTTTGCACCAACCTTTGCTGGCCCCTCTGCCTTCCCAGCCCCTGGTAAGTACTACTCCTCCCGCACGCTCAGTGGGACAGAACGGTGACAGCACCAAGAAGCCACAGGAGGATCTGCACGGCCGCAGCCCGAGGCTTCAGTGCCTCCTAGAGCACTGCTCTCACACGAACCTCTCAGCACGTGGTCTCAGGGTCGGAAGTAGACCGAGGACCTCACTACTCTGTGGGCCTTCTTGTCTACAATTAGTTCGCAATTACGATTATCAAATCCACAGTGCATCAATGAAGCTAGAAAAAAACTCAAAAAAAAAAAAAAAAGATAATGCAGTACATTAATTAAGACAATGCTGTCTGTGAGAGATGGGCTGTGAAGTGTGTAATACACAATATTTAAGTTTATGGCACACATTCCTTCTTGTCTGTGAAATGCCTGGGCTGTCTGTGCTGGCTTTAAACACTCCTTCCCGTTCCAGAGGTCTGACATTCAATCGGGTGGGGAGTGAAAAAGGCAATGGGATCTACAGTCAACCTCGTAATTTTTCAAGGATTCTGTATTTGCATACTCATGGACTCACTGAAGTTTTATTTGTATGCCCCAAGTCAATACTTGTGGCGCTCTCTGGTCATGTAACAGAAACGCACAGAGCGGTCCAGTGTTGGAGCTGCACACGGCACGCCCCAGCTGAGCTCAGCCAAGGTTGCGCCCTGCACCAACAAGCATTCCTTTTGCCATCAACGTGGTGCTAC